CACTGTCTGACATGACAACAACAAACATGACACTGTCTGACATGACAACAACAAACATGACACTGTCTGACATGACACATGACACTGTCTGACATGACAACAACAAACATGACACATGACACTGTCTGACATGACACATGGCACTGTCTGACATGACACATGACACTGTCTAACATGACAACAACAAACATGACACTGTCTGACATGACACATGACACTGTCTCACATGACACATGACACTGTCTCACATGACACATGACACTGTCTGACATGACACATGACACATGACACTGTCTGAAATGAAAACAACAAACATGACACTGTCTGACATGACACAGGACACTGTCTGACATGACACATTACACTGTCTGACATGACACATGACACTGTCGGACACAACAACAAACATGACAACAACAAACATGACACTGTCTGGCATGACACATGACACTGTCTGACATGACAACAACAAACATGACACTGTCTGACATGACAACAACAAACATGACACTGTCTCACATGACACATGACACTGTCTGACATGACACATGACACTGTCTGACATGACAACAACAAACATGACACATGACACTGTCTGACATGACACATGGCACTGTCTGACATGACACATGACACTGTCTGACATGACAACAACAAACATGACACTGTCTGACATGACACATGACACTGTCTGACATGACAACAACAAACATGACACTGTCTGACATGACACATGACACTGTCTGACATGACACATGACACTGTCTGACATGACACATGATACAGTCTGACATGACACATGACACTGTCTGACATGACAACAACAAACATGACACTGTCTGACATGACAACAACAAACATGACACTGTCTGACATGACAACAACAAACATGACACTGTCTGACATGACACATGACACAGTCTGACATGACAACAAACATGACACTGTCTGACATGACACATGACACTGTCTGACATGACACATGACACTGTCTGACATGACACATGACACAGTCTGACATGACAACAAACATGACACTGTCTGACATGACAACAACAAACATGACATTGTCTGACATGACACATGACACTGTCTGACATGACAACAAACATGACATTGTCTGACATGACAACAACAAACATGACACTGTCTGACATGACACTGTCTGACATGACACATGACACAGTCTGACATGACACATGACATTGTCTGACACAACAACAAACATGACACTGTCTGACATGACACATGACACTGTCTGACACAACAACTAACATGACACTGTCTGACATGAAAAATGACACTGTCTGACATGACACATGACACTGTCTGACACAACAACAAACATGACACTGTCTGACATGACACATGACACCGTCTGACATGACACATGACACTGTCTGACATGACACATGACACTGTCTGACATGACACATGGCACTGTCTGACACAACAACAAACATGACACTGTCTGCTGCTACATTTCCAGCGCAATTTTGTTTTTTTTACATCAGAAAATTGCTAGTACACAAATAAGGCTGAGAGATGCCTTGATCAAGTCTTGAGTTATGAGATGATCAAGTCTTGAGCTACAAGAGGATCAAGTCTTGAGTTACGAGATGATCAAGTCTTGAGCTACGAGATGATCAAGTCTTGAGCTACAAGATGATCAAGTTTTGAGCTACGAGATGGTCAAGTCTTGAGCTACGAGATGATCAAGTCTTGAGTTACGAGATGATCAAGTCTTGTGCTACGAAATGGTCAAGTCTTGAGCTACGAGATGATCAAGTCTTGAGTTACGAGATGATCAAGTCTTGAGTTACGAGATGGTCAAGTCTTGAGTTACGAGATGGTCAAGTCTTGAGTTACGAGATGGTCAAGACTTGAGTTACGCGATGGTCAAGTCTTGAGTTATGAGATGGTCAAGTCTTGAGTTACGAGATGGTCAAGTTTTGAATTACGAGATGGTCAAGTCTTGAGTACGATATGGTCAAGTCTTTAAGTACGATATGGTCAAGTCTTGAGTTACAAGATGGTCAAGTCTTGAGTTACGAGATGGTCAAGTCTTGAGTTACGAGATTATCAAGTCTTGAGTTACGAGATGATCAAGTCTTGAGCTACGAGATGATCAAGTCTTGAGTTACGAGATGGTCAAGTCTTGAATTATGAGATGATCAAGTCTTGAGTTACGAGATGGTCAAGTCTTTAGTTACGAGATGATCAAGTCTTGAGTTACGAGATGATCAAGTCTTGAGCTACGAGATGGTCAAGTCTTGAGCTACGAGATGATCAAGTCTTGAGCTACGAGATGATAAAGTCTTGAGCTACGATATGGTCAAGTCTTGAGCTACGATATGGTCAAGTCTTGAGTTACCAGATGGTCAAGTCTTTTGGTACGGGAAAACGACAGGCTAGACACGTGCTCAGCTCACAACACATCCCAGCCCCATCTCCTCTCTCCTTCTTTCTCTCACAACACATCCCAGCCCCATCTCCTCTCTCCTTCCTCTCACAACACATCCCAGCCCCATCTCCTCTCTCCTTCCTCTCACAACACATCCCAGCCCCATCTCCTCTCTCCTTCTTTCTCTCACAACACATCCCATCCCCATTTCCTCTCTCCTTCTTTCTCTCACAACACATCCCAGCCCCATCTCCTCTCTCCTTCTCACAACAGAAACAACTTTCCCTCTCTCTCCTGGAATATTTCGCTTTCTGGCCTAAGAAGATTTAACCAGCTGGCCAACGATACACCCCCCCACACCCCCCTCCCACACACACTCAGCAGCTCAACAGTTCATTTCTTTTACTGTAAGAAAAAACCCAAAAACCAAGGGAGAATGCGTGTTCAACGTTCCCTTTCATTCCTCACTCCCAACATGTGAGTACACACAGAGACAGAACAAACTGCTGGTCTTTCCAGACACTGAAGCAAAGACTAAAACAAACAAGCAACCCACATTATTGTTCATTATAATGACAAGGATTACCTTCTTAACCCACATTATTGTTCATTATAATGACAAGGATTACCTTCTTAACCCACATTATTGTTCATTATAATGACAAGGATTACCTTCTTAACCCACATTATTGTTCATTATAATGACAAGGATTACCTTCTTAACCCACATTATTGTTCATTATAATGACAAGGATTACCTTCTTAACCCACATTATTGTTCATTATAATGACAAGGATTACCTTCTTAACCCACATTATTGTTCATTATAATGACAAGGATTACCTTCTTAACCCACATTATTGTTCATTATAATGACAAGGATTACCTTCTTAACCCACATTATTGTTCATTATAATGACAAGGATTACCTTCTTAACCCACATTATTGTTCATTATAATGACAAGGATTACCTTCTTAACCCACATTATTGTTCATTATAATGACAAGGATTACCTTCTTAACCCACATTATTGTTCATTATAATGACAAGGATTACCTTCTTAACCCACATTATTGTTCATTATAATGACAAGGATTACCTTCTTAACCCACATTATTGTTCATTATAATGACAAGGATTACCTTCTTAACCCACATTATTGTTCATTATAATGACAAGGATTACCTTCTGGTCACTTTCTTCTGTTTTTTTTTCTTTTCCCTCTTCCTTTCCCTCTTCCTTTTTCTCTTCTTCCTCCTCCTCCTCCTCCTCTTCCTCCCCATCAGGGCGTGGGAGGAGAGTCACAGCCTTAGGGTCCATGAAGTCAATTCTCACATAGCCGGAGTCCACATTGGTTTTCTTGCCAGCCTGTACATTCAGAAAAGAACACAACTCACAAGTGACTTTCTTACAATTTTAACGTGCTTGAAACTCCTGACATAACACATCAGGGCTAGCTCAGTAAACATTGCACAACTTGCAGTTACAAAACAAAAGAATTGCATTCGAAAATATTTCACTGGCAGTATTTCTATTACTGAAATAAAATTAAGGAAATAAGCACTTTTTTAAAATTATAAAAAGAAATTGAGGTTTAAAAGATCTACTTTTGTGGAACTGTGCAAGTACAAATTGCAATGATTTTTTAATAAGATTTTTTAGCATTACTGCCATCTGAAAAAGATGTAAATTCTACTTTTCTTCTCCAAATCTGTACCTTTAGATCAAACCAAGAGTTACCGCACTGTAAAACACACACTCAAGTACAGATACACATCACTGCAATACATCACACAATGTTCCTGTTTGTATTGTGTCACTTGATAAACATCTAGACTTCAAATGTTCCTGTCTGTATCGTGTCACTTGATAAACATCTAGACTTAAAATGTTCCTGTTTGTATTGTGTCATGTCTCTGGTGACCCACTGGTGACCCACTGTCTCTGGTGACCCACTGGTGACCCACTGTCTCTGGTGACCCACTGGTGACCCACTGTCTCTGGTGACCCACTGTCTCTGGTGACCCAATGTCTCCGGTGACCCACTGTCTCCGGTGACCCACAGTCTCTGGTGACCCACTGTCTCTGGTGACCCACTGTCTCTGGTGACCCACTGTCTCTGGTGACCCACTGTCTCTGGTGACCCACTGGTGACCCACAGTCTCTGGTGACCCACTGGTGACCCACTGTCTCTGGTGACACACTGGTGACCCACTGTCTCTGGTGACCCACTGTCTCTGGTGACCCACTGTCTCTGGTGACCCACTGTCTCTGGTGACCCACTGGTGACCCACAGTCTCTGGTGACCCACTGGTGACCCACTGTCTCTGGTGACACACTGGTGACCCACTGTCTCTGGTGACCCACTGTCTCTGGTGACCCACTGTCTCTGGTGGCCCACTGTCTCTGGTGACCCACTGTCTCTGGTGACCCACAGTCTCTGGTGACCCACTGTCTCTAGTGACCCACTGTCTCTGGTGACCCACAGTCTCTGGTGACCCACTGTCTCTGGTGACCCACTGGTGACCCACTGTCTCTGGTGACCCACTGGTGACCCACTGTCTCTGGTGACCCACTGGTGACCCACTGTCTCT